ATCATGCTAGCAGGATCCATGGAGGTAGGAATGATTCTTACCGCCAATATTTACGAAAGTTGGCTTGCAGACAAGTAGTAGGTCGTCATGAATCAGTAGAAAGATATGGCGTAATGAACGACCCACCTTCTTGCAATTGTTCGAAGGCATCCCTGAAGAACTAGGTAAAGATAAAAGAAAAAGTGGATTAATCCTGATAATGATTTGTATATGTTTGTCCGATCAAGCAAACCCATTCAAGCTCTTCGATGAAAACTAATTACATATAAGGGTTAGACATCATTTATTAAATTTATTTTTTTTCGCACGCGAACTTCTTGAATTCGAGAATGGCATTATCTTAATATTTCTATGAATAATCCAATAAGATTACTTTCACTTGCTAGAAGACTAATATTCTCAAATTAGGACAGTTTTCTATCATGAGTGGTACTGCGGAAAATAGTCAACCATGATACTTTACCCAATTTTTTCGTATTTATGACTTGTCCCAGTGCAAATCATCTGCTAAATTCAGGGTATTAGTGAGCCGGCTCGAGGAAAATAGGTGTAATAATATTCCGGAGCAACCCTCTACTTCAGCGAATTATTGCCTAATTTTGGAATCACACATTTGATGAATAACTGTCTGACAGGATCGCAATCAGTTTCTCCTTCATAAGTCCGGAAAGCTAATGCTTTTGCCTGCAAAGGTTTCCCTGTCTTGGTAGAAAGTTCTCAGTACTTAATAGTTAGTGGAAGACCTTTTATATCTTTATCGAAGCGAGATACTGTCTGACCGTTAATTTGGATCGTTTCCTGTAGACACTGGAACAATGCTTTACGCTCAGCATAAGTGTATTCCTTTGGCACAACAGAAAATATTTTGTCATTGGGATTTATAGGATGTTTGATTTCACAAATCCAGATGACAGCTCCCGAATCCTTTCCCTTGCCTTGAGTAAAAGAAATGACTGGGAATTCATCAGTAAAAATAGGCTTAATTTTTAAAACTTCTCCGCTATGATAATTATTATAGGAATATCTAAAAATGCTGTTGTCTCTTCGAGCTACTGCACCCTCATACCCTTCGTTTATAAAGTTATTCATAAGTAATTTTATGTCATCTATAGAGTACACAGGAAAATTTTCTATTCTCTTTAGATGTAGGAGTATGATTTTGTTCTTTCTTATATTCTGAAATATAGAAGATAGATAGGCCTGACGATCTCGGCTCAACATATCATGTCCGGCTTGCTTAGCATAAGGGAAGAAGATATCGAATATGTGGAATTCTAGAGCTGTGCTATCGCCACTCTTTCTAGCTTGACCAGATATCCAATTCAGGCTTTTGCCATGAAGATATAGCTTTCCGGCCAGATAGACTCTGGGGAATGTTAATAAAATTTTGGAATTACTAGTACTAAGTGTACCTCCCTTGGCGCCATAAGCTTCAAGAATTTTTAGCTCTTCTTCTGAATTACCGAGACGAGGAAGTCCATAATTCCCGGGGCAAAGACGTGGCATATTATTGAAAAGAGTTTTGAGCTCAGTCTCCAAATAATCTTGTTCTGGATATAGCCTACCCGTTCGCGAGTATCCTATTACTTTATTTCCACACGAACTTAAGAAGGCCACAAAGTGTACTCCATTAAGTTTTCTTTGTACTGTAATTCCCGAAATAAAATCTTGTGGAATGAGTCGAGAATCAGCGGATGAATCTAAGTCTTTGAGAAGCATGGGAGGGGGCATTGGATCAGTTGAGATAGAATGTGTTGGGATACATTGTGCTGAATTGGTACTAGCCGTCACTCTTTTCCTTTGCTTATTATAAAGTCCCAATGCGTCTCGGATGGCCTGCGTTAAAACATTTGTAGCATTCTTT